TTTCTTAATCTTATCATGTTGTTCCTACATTAAAGCCTCTTAGAATACTTTCTCTTTAGTTCTCCATCTCTCCCTTTCTGATATTCAAATAGACTAAAAAAAGTCACAAAATGCTACCTTATTCTGTAAATAATCCTGATTTTGTCACGAGGTAAATTGTTACTTTAGATTTTTCGTTAATTTTTTATTTTAATTATCTGATTATATTGTGTTTTTATTATTTTGGCGTGACTGGGCGTAAGGTATTAAAATGATAAGAAAGGCGAGATTGGAAAACAATAACAACTTTATTATATAGTAAAGTAAAATAGATATGAAATTCAAAAAGATACAAATTACAAATGGATTTAGAGTTAGTCAAGTAATTTAGACAGATAACATTACAAATGAATTGAATGAATTGAACAAAAACATTTATAGAAAGGATATTCCTCTCGATGCAGATTAATACACCTTTAAAGTTAATAAAACCACTTACGTTGATAGGAGAGGTACAATCATCTTGACCAGGAGGTAGTGCCACCAACACTTAGGATTCTTACCGGTTATCGGTTAAGGGTAGAGTCATTTCGAAATGAAATTATTAATTAATTAGTTTCTGAGTTTCCTTAAAACCCCACTGCGTGACAATATAGTCTGTCTCTAAAATATCTGCCTTTGAATTTTAAAAATCATTCAACCAGAACGAATCTGAATTCATACAACATACATAAATTACTACAAAATTGGATAAAGAATATTTTAATCATTCTAAATCGGGAATAGCTAATAATAAAAGTTAAACAGGTGTACAAATTCACTTTTCTTTTATTGCAATGACTAAAACTCTGATGCGTTTCTTCCCTTGTGACTAATTCTAATTGTAGTTCTAGCCGTGAAAGTTCATTTTCCTAAGTGAATTTTTATTGTCTTCTTTTCGTAGGCTAGAATTGCACGTCACCTACGATGCAGCTGTCCCCGAGAAGAACTGCACATGTTCATAAACGGTAAAAAGTAATAATTATTTCATACCACTATCTTTGCACGCTGTAGCAGACGAAAACTGAGACAGTCTAATTTCATATTGACTAAATAATAATCACAATTAAGTTAACTATACCTACATGACTTACAATAAGAAATCCTCGAAGTATATTTACTGCATTAAGTACTGCAATGACCTTTTGAACGTTTTGATGCTACTATTTTTAAATTAATTGTCATTCCTATTATTCTATGCTCCCGAACGATTAATTTAGAAATTCGAAAAAGATTGTTGAAGGTGTGTTTAGAGTGCGGCTCTGTACGGGAGCGAAACATGGACGGTTGGCGTGATAGAAAAGAAAAGGTTGGAAGCGTTCAAACTGTGGTGTAACACGCGAATGATGAGGATGTCGTGGATAGAGAAGGATAGAAATGAAGAGATATTAGAGATAATATGAGAACAGGGGTGGAAGTCAATAAGAAATAGGCGAGATAGGTTGGTAGGACACCTTCTCAGGCATGAAGGTGTAATCAGAGACATACTAGAGGCAGAAACACGAGTTAAGAGGAGTAGATGTAGGTTAGGAAAGGAAAGAGTGGAAGTGCGGGTCTAACCAGTCTTAGGACTGACGACCACTAAGCAATAGGACACGTGTCAAATCTTATTGCTTTGAAAAAAGATAGTTAACATAAATTTGTGAATAATATGGTAATATGTCGATAAACCTAGCGAATATGACACAAATTGATATGTTTGTACGGTCTGACTGTTTGGGAATAAGTTAGGGTTTGAGGTGAGACCCATTTCTCATTATTGTTTTCAAATGGTGTAAAGGCATGTGAGATTTCATTAGCTTTATACCGTCTGTCATTTTCATAAAAACAAAAG